GTATCGGCCGATACCCACAGCACCGGTAACGGGAGGGACAAAATGGTATTGGAACATCTCTAATTCTATCACACTAGTTTGTCCTGTCACTGTCCAAACAAACGCACTGTACGTGTTTTACATCAAGAGCAAGCGTGTTCAAACCCTGTTCTCATCCACATTGAGTTCCTTACATTTGCTGGGACTTGAGGAGCTCCACGGACAGCAGTAGCTCCTTCATCTGATTCCTCAGCTCCTCCAGCTCTTCCGACTCCAGCCGGGCCCTGATGCCCAGCGACGCAACGTCTGAGCTTGGGCCTGCCGCGGTGCTCAGCTTGGTCTCGGTGCTGGCGGCGGGCCTGTTGAGTAACGGTGACTGGGATCTGTTTGCGGAAGGCTGTGGACATAGGAAGAGGGAGATATGTGGCCATAGTGTGTATGATTCACATTATTTTCATACGTCAAACATCCTGCATCCAGGATAGAAATGTTTCATCCCAGGATACATGTGATCACTCAGAATAACTATAATTGGTTTGCAGTGACCCTTTTTCCTGAGGGGACAAATGTCAAGAAAATACCTTGGTGAACAATGATTCATCTGATCGTTTCACCTTTCTCCACAACTCTGTAAACATGTGCCTTCATTTTCTGGATCACTGAACTGCCACATGGGCATTCCTCTTTGTAATGAGAGGTCTATGCACTGCAGCCCACCTACAATATCCCTTTATTACGGGTTTTCTTTCAAACATTTGTCTGATCACATCCTGCGATGACAATGTTTTTTTAAGCTTTCATGACATCTATTCATGTGTCTCTCTCTCATGGAACAGGTAAAAAAAATTAAAAAAGTCTACAGTTCATTCAAAGCTTTTATAAGCAGCAACTATTGGGTATCTTTCAATGTTACTGTCTTTATACTACAAAATCCCCTCTTGGACAGCGTTTCCTCACTGAGCCAAAGCAAACTGATACATTTTGACAGTTGCATGTAGATTTGTTACTGGGACAAAACACTGGCAATATACTGTAAGCGCACATGGATACCAGGACCAAGATTTTATTTGGCTTATCCATGTGCTGAATATTGGCTTCAGCTTCACTTTAGAAAACATTTTTAGACAGAGGACTGTGGATTTTTCTTTTTTTTGTTTGTTATATTGGATTTGTGCTTTGAATGGATCCTCATCATAGCCAGTATGGAGAGGAGAAATGATTACAGTGAACAGTAATTCAACATACACTTATGAGTGTTGTTTTAAGAAAGACTCAAATCTATAGCAGACCTTTTTATGGTTCTTTCCTTATGTATTCATGTTTTCCCTTTAATTTAACACCGGTATATGGTATTTCATTCATCTTTTCCATTCTACCACAGCAGCCCCAGGTAATCAGTTTCAATAAGGCATTCGATGGCTGCAACCTCTTCTGCCCCGGAGGCCTCACATACTCTCTTCTGCTCTCATTCTTTACCGGAGTAAATGTTACAAAGGTCAGAATCTCATTTTGAAACAACAAGAGGGTGAGGAGAAGGGCACGCAGGATACATGTCCTGTAATTTCACTTCAGGATGTCTGAACTTCTGGGTTATAAATGCTCCAAGCATAGCTTTGTTCTGTCTGTCTATGTGTATGTGTGTTTGCTTTTAACAACAGGGTGGCCTGATGCTGTGTACCCCCAGCTGAACAGCAAGGTCTAATTAGTCTTGGTTGACCATGACCAATCCAGACTAGATAGCATCTGAGGCAATTAATGAAAGGAAGACTGAACAGCGGGTGGTCTTCCTCGCTCCATCTCCCTCTGTCCTTGCTTGCGTCTGTTACAAACAAAACACGCTACAGAGAACTGTCTCGCCATCTCAACGTGGGCAACTGTGTTTGTTCGTCGTTCAACATTGTGAGGTGGTTTGTTGGTAAAACCCTTAAATGCCTTTCATGGTGTTGCTATATTGTCCCTGAAAGTTGGAGGTAGAGAGGAGGACTTTAGTCTCTGAACTGGTGAGAAAGGCTCAACCTCTGCACAACTCTGGTCTATTTCATGCTTTTAAAAAAGGTGGATATTGTAATAAAAAACCAAAGAGAAAGAAATGATTTGCTCTGACCGCAATGGAACATGATTATGGGAGTGGTGACCGTGCATCTTTTAAAGCCACTATTACTGAAGTCATTCCTGAATCTGTTAGGCATGGTGACAGGTTGAAAGGGTTCTTACAAAAGGGAAAGGTTTTGTATTTGTTAGCTGAATGCCACAGTATACCCAGCCTCAATGATAATAGATTTAAAAATTGTACTTGAGTGCTGTTTATAGAAATGAATGTTTTCATTAGTTATCTGTGGCAGTGATAGTGTTCATCCCACTCTTTCTAATACGGCTTAGCTTCTTGCCTTCACTTCATTGAATTATTTCTGGTTGCTGCTGATTTGTAAGATCAAGGCAGGGATGTCTTTATAATTTGAATTCTGTTATGAAGAAGAGCTATATGAAAAGACATACAAAAGCTTTCACTCGCTAAATTGTTTTCTGCCAGTGTGAATTTTGTGATGTATTTGTATTTTGTACCACAGCAGCTGCAGAAATTCATTTTCAACAAGGAAATCAAATGCTGGTCTTTTCCCAGAGGGCTCGCATACAGTTACAGGGGCCAAAGGTATTCTGTTTACTATCATTGAAGACAAAGAAAACCAACAAATATCAATAATTGAAACGTTCTACACAGTGGACATTACACATTTTGCTTAAAAGCAATAAATAAATTATAAAATTATTGTTTTTTATTTTCTGCTGAATGACTCATCACCTATTTAACTAATTGATTCATCACTACAGTGTAGTCTGTTACAGTATTTATTTCTTCATTCATTTGTGAACAGTAGGGACATATTGTATTTTTATTTTATTTTTATTTTTTTTGTGCATAGCAACAGGAGAGTGTTACCCCATGCACTGTACAAACTGTCCATTATCTATTTTGATACATCCCAAGGAAGCACGTGTGATAGAAGGTTAATAGTGCATGACTGGAAGCAGCAGCACAAACAAGGGTTTAATTCCACTGCTGTATGTAGTAAGAACTACACAATGCTAGCTAAAATTATAGTGTCAAAGACTGATGGGATAACCTGCTGCTCACCTCGGAATATCCAGAGATTCCAGTTGTGCTTTAAAGTATACCTGAGAAATTCTAACTGTTATTTATAATTTGCTAGAGTTAGCTTGACAGCTAAGCTAGCAGATAGCGTTAGCATTAATTGGCGATCAGTGTTACTGTTTTTCCAGTTCTCATCTCATCATTATGTATCTAAATCTACCTCTAGTTTCAAAAACCTTTCATTAAGGCTATGGAACTGGAGTGTTAAGAATAGAGAGAGAGGATCCAGATTAAATCATTTAGAACAAAAACAACAGAGAAAGAAACAATGGTCATCAGGTATGCACATTCACAGCTCATTCACACCTGGCTGGCTGCTGACTGGGCCACTAAACGTGCTGCGATCCTTGTCCACAATTTTTATATTAAAACCATACAGAGTGGCATTTCTCTCTAACAAAGCATCTTTGGCTGAATGTACAGACCCCAGTATGCAGCAAATGTAACAGCCAAGTTTCATTTTTACCAAGACTAAAACTGTAAATACAGCTTACAAAAGGTACAAAGGGATGTGATATGTTATGTTCTAAGGGCAGAATGGTGTTTGCCACCTGTAACTATCATGAAATTGGTGAATAATGGTTACCTTTCTGGTTTCTGTTAGCTTTGGTTTGGCTGCGTCCTCTTCGTCGATCTTGAAAGATTTCTCCACGCTCACTTCCTTATTGGGCTGCAAAAGAAAATTTTTATTTAACATGTGAATTACATCAATATTTTTACTTGATTTTCAGTTTACAGCTTCCTGACTTCTGACACTTAAGTGCAGCTGATTGATGTCTTGACACTAGCTCTGAGAGACGATTTGAGGAGAGGAACGTAGGCGGTGAGACCCCTGTGTGAGCAGGGCTGCCTTTAAGTGGGTGCTTTACCATGTTTCATATGGTCAGGAAGCGGATGTCAAAGTGCAAATTGTCAATCCATGTTTTAATATAATGTGCTACTTGTGATGAGCATGAGCTCGGCGGAGGGTGAGTGAGCGAAGGGAGGTGGACAGGTTACGGAGAGCAGGAAACCCATGGTGAGGAGCATCAATTTGAGAGGCGAGTGAGAAAAGAACAAACAGTTCTGATAATAAAAAAGGGACTGCGACATAAACAGACTGAATGAAATCTGGTGCATACTGTGTTTGTAGAATTAAATACTGATCAAGTAACTGCAAGCTGCCATCAAATGTCTGAACAGAAATGTCTTGAAAACCTCTTCTCGATTACATAAATCTAAATTTTGTCCATTTTATTAACTGCTACTAGAGCTGTTATGATTGTGTGTCAAAGTCAGGAATTGTGTTGACCCTCAAATAATACCTGGGCCTAGTTGCAGGTGTTCCTGGTGAGGTGGACTGTGGGATTATCATAAGCTTGTGATTTATATTTTTAAATTCAAAAACCCTTAGGTTTTCAGAGTAGCAAGTTATTGAGTGAATGTGATGAGAGAAGAGATAAGGTGGTATAATTTAATATTAGGAATCCTTTCCGAATCCAAATCCTTTCGAATGTAATTGAATCTAATTAAATTTAGCTTTCAGAAATTAATTCAAATTCAGTTTAGATCTATTTAGATAACCTTTTCATTGGCTGAGAATGTTTTGGCAGCTTAATTAACACTCACAATCTGGAGCTAAAATATGAATTATATGAAATGATAATTAAATGCATCTTACATGTAGCTAGCTTCAAACATCACAGATCACTATTCAAAACCATCAAGTTGATTAGATTCAAATATGCATCAGATGTGCATAAAAGTTGAATCTGGAGATTCTCCTTACGCAGCTGGATCGTTCTCTACAGAAGAGGCTCCACTCTGGTGGTCTTGCTAAACTACAAAACCACACTTGCAGTTGTCGAGTGGTCTTTCCCTCATCTTTCTTTCCCCCACCAAAAGACAGCAGCTGGCTAAGAGCACATTAGCAAACCGAAGTTTTATTTTAGCCATCACAGAATTAAAGCTGCAGTAGGTCAATTTTATAAAAAATATGCATTATATGTGCTGAAACTTTCACTATATCCTGACAGTAGAGCATGAGACAGATAATCTGTAAAAAAAAAAATCTCCTCCTAGTGCTCCTGATGGCATTTGCAAGAAATCATAATCAACAATCATTCTTGGTCCTGATTGGTTGTTTTGTTCAGGCCCGGTGAATTCTCACAAATGCCATTCAGAGTGCTAGAACGAGCCAGAGGAACCAGATTTTCTCACAGATTATCTGTCTCTGTCTGTATAGTATTACTGTGTACTTATTACTGTTGAAATGTTGATTAAATGTTGATTAGCTTCAACTGACACCAATGATGTTTGTCAATTTAACCAGCGAACTCATCACAGGCTAAATTATAATGTCTTTAAATTACAATTTGAATCACGCTCACATTTCAGAGATTTGTTAGTACTGCTACCAGAACCCAACTCTAATGGATACACAGTATGCGGACGTAGACTGTGACATCTGACTGTTCACCAGCAACAGCAATGTGACATGACCTCTCATCTCTCACAATAAATCTGCAGTAAAATGCAAATTGGAAGGTAACTGTATCAATTTCCCATGTTTTGCTTATTATGAACATCCTAACATGTACAAACAAATATGGTTAAACTGTAGCACCCAGGGGCACAGGGCACCCTGTTGGGAATTTAGCTCCAACTGTGCCGTCATAATCTGTGTGTGAGCGTGCTGAGTGATTGTGCATGCTCACCGACTGTCCTCCACCAAACTGGGCAGGCAACCTCCTGCCAGGCATCTTTGGTCTGTTAACAGTGGGGTGAGAGAGCTTCTCCGAGGTAGACGACAAGTCATCAAAACTCATCAGATCTGTTGATAGTAGATGAGGGAGGCAGAGACAGAGAGAGAGATAAGGGAGGAAAATAATAAAAGAAGTTATTTATTATAAAAAGGAATATTTCAGCCGTGACTAAGAAGCACCCAAGGGTGTCTCTGACACTTGTGATTTAATTACATTCAATTTGAGTGCCATGTCATTGCTGGTAAACAACTTTTGCACGCATGTTATTTCCTGCCCAGCTAATGATTTTAGCAAGTAGAAAATAAACTGTTAGAATGCTCATATTTTTTAGTGTGAAATGGTCTATTAGGAAACAAACCCAAAGCTGTTGAGATCTGTACATTTGTGTAAATTGCATAGAAAATTTTTTATATAGACAAACATTCAGAACAGACTCTGAATACATTACCATTTAATTTTAAACAGCAGTCTAAATGCAAAGACTTTCTGGTTTTGATAGGTGAAATCACATTTAGTGTTCTCTATAGTAGTGTACACACACACACACACACACACAATATGCGACATGTAGTAAGAAGTGAATTTCATACATGCATGTAGTGCCTCTGGAGAGCAGCCCTAACCTTCCTCTCTGTAGGTCGTAAAAGGCCGTATTTTAAGCAATGATCAAGCCAGTTATCACAGAACTAATGTCCTGTGTATCTTTTTAGTGTTTTTTTTTGTGGTACTCTTGCTGTGCTCAGTGGAGAAAGAATTTTCCTTCACTTGCTGCAGTTTTTAGTTCGTTTAAAGAGAATGGCTTTCCTTCTCAACACACAACAACAGTCCCTATAGTACCTATAGTAATTCACTGATGTATTTTCACCAAGAGACCATGTTATTAGCTGGTTAACATCAATCATTTTCTCTCTTTTCATCTCAAATCTTGCAAGCTAAGCACACTGCAGAATTGTAAATGCTATTCTAATAATCTATTGTTATAATACTGCCGTTTTGCACTTATTAAATCCAGTCACCTCTACCTTGCTGTTCTTTATTTTGCTTTTAGGCTACAATCAATGATAGACTTCTCTTCCTGCAAATTTTTCACTTTAAAAACCTGCCAGGAAAGGAAATATTACAAGCTTTAACACTCTCGAGCAAGAGTTCAGCAACCTTTATCTGCTACAACACAAAAATCTGTTGTAGCAGCATATCTTATTAAATTAGTAAATTCTATCCTTTTTTGGGAATAAGTGGATAGAAATCAAACTTACACTAACAACAAACTTAAAATGGAGGAAGGAATGAGTCACTCCTACTTTTGTTATGCAACAGTGAAAAACTTTAGGGATTCTTGTGTAACATCACTTTACAGCTGCTCTGCTTCAGTCAGAAAGCACTGAGTGTGATGGCAGCAAAGATGGAATTTTCATGTTCCATGGCAATGCGTGTCAGACTGACTTATGGTGAGAAGTGATGACTTTTAGCAGCTCTTTATCGCCTTTACGAGGCATGTGTCACAGAGAACTCTCCAGTGACACACCCTCAGGTCAGCTCTATGAAATCCATCTCAGGTGACTTTTCTCTGCGGCCTGTCTGTTCCCCGGTACTTCCATTTATAACTAAACTCTTCTCTTCCACTCTCAAAACATCAGCCTCCAAACTATTTTAATCTGTTCAATCATGTCTCACAGTCGGCTCTGCTTTCATTATTGGAGGTGATGTTAATTAAAGTTCATGTCTTCCTCACATTTTTCAGCATTTTGTGGAAGGCATTTCCTTTCTGGTGCACAGACCCATTTTCCCAAACTCACATTAAAGGCTAGACAGCAGACTTGAATAATAATAAATAAGAAAAAAAATCATCTTAGTATTCAAGCAGATCCATGTCTCCATAAAATGAAAGAGTAAAACGAAACCTAGATAAGACGTACTTAACTTTTGTCTTGCAAAGCTTATTATTAAGTTAATAATAGTTGCCCATTAGATTTTTGCCATTACCAAGCAACCCTAAGATGCAGCATGCAGAAAGTCAAAAGTACTAATGCCGTGGCAGATTTGGGTGCCGCAAACTGAAGTGAAGACACATCTGCTGAAGTCACACATGTTAATGAATATTCTGAGATGTATGACAGGAGCCAAATGGAGAAAGTCTGAGGCAGAGGTCAACATTTACTATCTTTTAATGCCAATTCATTGCTGCAGATCAAGCATGCCGGTAAGCTGGCAGTGCTGGTGGTGAAAGCAAATATCACACACACACTATCACATTTTCTGTTCTCCTCTGAGACATTTCTCTCTTTGGATTTGGAATCCATAGCTTGCCTAGCTTGGGTGACTCAAGACTAGTAGCCACCGCTATTGAGGTTCAGCAGAATAAGGAGGAAAAGGTCAGGACGTAAAGTATGATGCATTTTTAGCTGATGAAATGTTATTTTGTCATTTGTTTTATTCTGTATATATAATGGCTATACATTTTTC